ATTGTCCAGTGATGATGATGTACATTTTTTGAGTGGGGCTGATTGAACAAAAGGGTGTACTGTGTGACACACTGATGCCACTAGGATGAATGAAGAAGTGTTGGAAAGATGGAGAATTGAGGTGGGTTTTTGTTTGTTTTGTTTTTGATTAATTTTGGGGAGCATACTGTAGGGGTGAGAGGTGGATATGAAGGGACTGGGAGGTAAGCAGGATTAGGGTACATGATGTGAAATTTCCAAACAGTTATGTCTAAAATAAAAAAAAATGAAACATTGAAAGCTCAGAAAATGGCTCTCTAGGTAAGCCACTTGCTGGACAAGTGTGAGGACTTGAGCTCAGGTTCCCAGAATCCATTAAAGTAGTACTTGGTGGTGTGTCTCCATAACACCAGCACTACCAAAACAAATGGAGATGGAGACAGAAGAATCTCTGGAATATTCTGAGCCATATAGCCTGGTACATACAGCAGTGAGCCACAAAGACACCTTGTCTCAAACACCAGAGGTCATCCACTGACATCCACACTTGTGCCAGGTGCATGCCAGTCCCCAAAAGACTGTTTCCAAAAAAAGAATGAGAAAAGGGGTCTCAATCTCCTCAGCATATTCCTAAAGGACTTTCCATCTACTACAGAGATATTTGCCCATCCAAGTACATTAGTACTCTAATCACAATGGCTACTGAAGGGAATCAACATAAATGTCCATCAACAGATGACTGGAAAGAAAAATATGGTTTATATACACAAGAGAATATTGCTCAGCTGTAAAGAAAAGTAAAAAAGTGAAACCCATAAAATTTCTTAGGTAAATTGATGAAACTGGAAAAATTTGCCTCAAGTGAGGTCACCCAGCCTTAGAAAGACAAAAGTCATGTGTTTTCTTTCCTATGGGGTTTTTATTTTGTTTGCTTAATTTGGAGTGCATTGGAATCCATTGTGGATGAGGGCTTTGAATGAGGGGAGATGATAAGGTATAGGTAAAAATAAAGCAAAGGGAAGGGGAATACTTCAAGTGGAAAGTTCAAAAGTGGTGGGGTTGAAGAGATGAGGCATGGGAAAAGGCTTAGCCCAAATGAAAGGTGTGTGAAAAAGTGATAGGAAAACCTGAGATCTTCCAAAACAAGTAAATATTATTAACTTGGGCTGGGAGGAATGGTCGAGAACAGATGATGTGGAAGAAAATGGAGAAAACATTCAGTTAAAGGTTGGATGAGGACAAGAGCATAGAAGAGAACAGGAGGCAGAAGCAGTTTAGCCAAAACTACAGACATTTAAAGACTTAGAGAAACTCACTATTTGGTGAGCTAATATAAACTATATGTAGTGGCAAATGTCTTTCATCTCAACACTGATGAGGCAGAGTCAAGTGGCTCTTTGGGAGTTTGAGGACAGCCTGGTCTACATAGTGAGTTCCAGCCCATTATACAGAGTAATCCTGTCTCAGAAAACTGAAATATATATGAGATTTCAATCCCAGGTTCTCTTCATGGATGGACAGTCCTGCTCCCAGAAGACACTAGTTATTGAATGAAAACATTGTGTCAGGAATGAGATACCTCTCTATGAGTTGTTGGTCAAGGAGGCCCAAAACAATTCAGGCTATTGTCATTATTCTTGTTTGCCCACAATAACCAGACAGTAAGACCCTACTACTAAAGACACCACACACTTTGGTTGCAGGACACTGAGAAATCAATCTTGAAGTCACTGAAAACATTCTCCCTGCTAGCTAGATTTCATAGTACTGGAAGGCACTATTCAGGCTGCTGGGGAGAAAGGACATCATTGGTCTTACCCAATGTGGCACCCTGCCCACACTATAATAATGGCTGCCAGGCAAGTTGTGCCAATGTTACAACAGTAGACTGACAGATATGGTATGACCAGCAACTTTCTGATAGGATCTGAGGCTCACTCCACAGAAGGGATTTCATGCCTGGTACCTTGTCAAATGCCTGTGACTGGAGAGATCATGGGGCCTAGGGGAGAATTTAGTGGTTGTTGCCTCACTGAACGAAAACACTATTGAACTTCCTTTATGCTTATGTTTATATCTATAAATTTATGCTGCTTTCAACATTGGTCAGAGAAGCTTCTTTCAGCTTACAGTGGTTATTACAGAGACTTATAACTGGTCAAAGTTCTTAGAATCAATGCCTGTGAGTGTTCAGCCATAGATGGTTCATATATCAACCTAACCCTATCCAAGGCTCAAGGCACACAAAAGGGTAAGTGAAAAGAATGTAAGAGCTAGAGGATGGGTAGAACAGCTGTGAAATGCTGTCCTCTGGATATAATATGGCCATTGCATGGAAAAATTCACAGCAGTTCTGGTTGCCTGCAAGAGATGAAGCCAATGAAAATTCCAACATGGGTGGAATAGGGGCTCCTAAGGCTCTACCCCTACCCAAAGAGTTGAACTGGCTATTAGCTTCTGGGGGCTGGATGTTGTCACTTGGCTTCAGGGCTGTGGCCACTGTAGGAATGGCCCCACACTCATACACATATGGTTAGCATTAAGCAGACTCAACTTAGCAAAGAACATTAAGTCCTGAGGGAGATGGGCTAATGGTCCCAGATAAAATTTAAGGGCGGTAGTAGTGGAGGTATAAAATCAGAATATATTGTATACATGTATAAAATTTTCAAAAAATGAATTATTTTTTAAAGACTTAGAAAAAAGGTTAGGTTGTAGAGAAATGAGAACTCTGCATATAGCTGGAAGGAATGAACATATAGAAAAAATATGGAGACTTCTCAAAATATTAAAAACAAAACTACCATATGATTTAATAATCTCATTATTAGATATAAATCCAAAGGAAAATGAATCAGCATTCCAAAGAGATATTTCCAGTCCCTTGTAGATTGCAGCACTATTCACAATAGACAAAAATGGCCTTTCTCCATAAACTTCTGGATGGATAAATAAAACACAGCTAAATACTACTTAGTCATAAAAAAGAATAAAGTAAAAAACGAGACACTAAAATCTTATAGCATCTGTACAGAACTTACAGGCTTGCATGAGGGTAACTCCACTTGGAACAAAGGGATTTCTAAGTCCCTGATCTCTAGGTATACCCTGGGGAGTATAGTTTCTTTAGTCATCCAATCTCCTGCATTCAAAGAGATTGCCACAGATGAGCAACGGAGGGGTATGGGGAGTCCACAATTCACTTTCAATGTTCTCTTCAGCTCATTTCCGCTGTTAGCTGAGTATAGTGGCTCTGAATCTGGGTGCAGCATGGCTCTGAAACACTATCTCTCTACATAGCCCTGGCTGTCCTGAAACTCACTATATAGACCAGGCTAGCCTTGAACTCACAGAGATCCTCCTGCCTCTACCTCCTGGGTGCTGTAATTAAAGGTGCACAACATACTTGATAGGCTCATTTATTTTTAATTTTTTAAAGATTTACTTTACTTTGTGTTCTATAAATGTTTTTCTTCACATGTGTATATGCATGACATGCATGCCTGTTGGATCCACTGCAACTGAGGGTATGATATGAGCCACCATCTAGGTGCTGGAAATCAAACCTGGCTCCTGTATAAAAATAAATACTTTTAACCACTGTGCCAGCTCTCCAGCTCCCATGTCTCATTTTCAAGAAGTAATACACCTTGTGAGAAAGGGGTGGCTATGGTCAGCAGGGTGGACTCCAGGGCCCAGGCCCTGCCCCAATTGCAGGTACTCCTCTAGTGCTAAGCTCCACCCTCCTACCTCACCCAGTGTCCTTGTTGGACTTCTACTACTGAAATAAAGAGCATGACCAAAGGCATCTTAGGGAGGAAGGGTTTATTTCACCTTAGAGGTCGCAGTTCATCATGATGGAAAGTCAGAGAAAGAACTCAAGGCAAGGACTCAATGGCTGGGTCTGAAACAGAGAACATAGAGAAGTGTTGTTTATTGGCTTGCTCTGCATGGCTTTCTCAGCCTGCTTTCTTATACTACCCAGGACCACCAACCACAGTGAGCTTGGCCTTCCCATTCCAATCAGTAATCCAGAAAGAGTCTCACAGACTTTCCTATAGGACAATCTCAATTTGAGGGCAATCTCAAAATGGAGGCATTTTCTCAATTGAGGATTCCCCTTCCCAGATGACCTTAGCACATGTCAGGTTGACAGAAAACTAACCAGCAGAACTGGTGCCACATTCTCTGAGGTCTTGCAAGACCCTTTTTAGGGTAGGCATTAGCCACTTCCTTGATATTCTACTCTTGAAGCCAGGCATTTAGCACTGCCAAATATACCACAAGTTGCCATCCAGTTCCATCTGCCCTGTGTGGATATGCCATACTAAAACACTCATTCATCTTCTTGGAGAGTAGATTCAACATATCACTCATTCACTTGCCTTTTATTTTTTTAATGTGGAGGATATTAAATAGTGAATCTAACAGTAGCAGCTGATCTGCCTGAATATTGCAGATCAGCTTATTCTCCTCTCCAAAACCGTTGTGTCTGCATATCAAACTTTTCTTTGTATTCCCTTGCAAAGAGAAGAGCCTGTGAATGTTCCTTTGATTCAAATGAAAATATTAGAATTTAATGTGATTCATGTGGAGATGTTTGTTGCACTGTCTTTTAAGAATTATTCTCAGGGGTTAAATAATTATTTTTTCCTTTTTTGTTTCATGGAACAATTTGCACTGAGCCATTCTTCAAGACAGTGGAAATAAAAACACCCAGAGAGGAAGCTTGCTTGGCCAAAGGATAATACTCAATATTTTGACTGGATGCATAGAAGAAATACGATTGAGCTGTCACAAAGGACAGCCAAAAGCTGGCAGTCACAGTAAATAAAACTTTTGTATTTCTATCTGAATATGAATAGTGTTGCATTTTCTCAGCTACAGATTTCCCTAGGCCCTGAGCCTGCAAGAAAGCTATTTGAAAAAAGCTATTCACTAACATGCACCTGCTTGAGTGACAGGGAGTTGGCTGTCCTTAAAAGACATTGAAATTTTACCTAGGGATTATTTATCTCTAGTTTGAACTTAGCTTTTAAAACAAAGTCCTAAAACAAAACCAACTGACCAAACAGAAAACAAAACCTAGTTTCTTAACTGTTTAATGTTTCTTCATGTCTTTTTCTTCCACAAAGTGCATGAATATTTTGTGAAAAAGTACATCCACAGTGAATAATATATGTATCTAGGGTCAGGCTGGGTAGGTAGAGGCTGAGATGGGTTCCTCTTCTATGCTACAGAACAGACATCCCGGCCATGAGCCTCAATTTGCTTGTGAACAATGGCAAACAATGAGATCCAGGCATTTGGATGATGGTATTCATCTTATACATCAACTTGATTGGACCACCTGATTCTCCATTTCCATAGGTGTCTCTGTGAGGATATTTGTGAATAAGGTTACCTTTAAATAGCTGGCTGACTACAATATATTGTTTTCTCTATGGGATGGACCTCAACCAATGAAGATATTTGAGTGGAATAAGAGCCTGACCTCTTCATCTCCTTGCATCATAGTGGCTAACACTGAATGTTCTTCCACGGCCAATGCCTCTACAGAGGGGACACTATCTTCTTGGAATAGCTTTACAAAGTACATGTATCTCCAGCCATCAGTCTCTGGGGTACAGCCAGTCATTAGAGACTGAGAATCCTGAATTATAGGTGAAAGTCTGTACAATTTCACAGGACAATATGACCCAAGAATCTGAGTTATCATTAACGTAGTGAACACAGGGAAAGCTGCTATTTACATGGTCTTGGAACAAAGCAGGTACTTTATTCCTTCATTTCACAAACATGTATCATTTCCTTTCTCTGAGTCTGGCCCTATCCTAGGGTCTGGAAAAGTATGTTCTTTTCATGGAGTTATTTTGTGTTGGATAAGGGGGGTGCTCAGATGGTGACCAATGAGAATAGTGGAGGAGAATGCTCATGGAAAGATTTTCTGGCAAATGACATTGGATCAGAATCTAAGAGAGGTAGGAGATTGGGATAAAGCAGAGTATCTACTAAGTTAAGTGTTACAGTTTTGGGGTAGGAAGGAACAGTGAGAGATCAGGCCGTTGAAACAAAGACATTGAAAGAGATGATGCTAGAGAAGCCATTGCCTGCTCAGGGGATGTGCAAGTCTCCAGAAGTGCTCTGGATTTGACACCAAGAGTGGAAAGCCTCTAGAAATGGTGTGTGTGTGTGTGTGTGTGTGTGTGTGTGTGTGTGTGTGTGTGAGAGAGAGAGAGACAGAGACAGAGAGAGAGACAGAGAGAGAGACAGAGAGACAAAGAGACAAAGAGACAGAGACAGAGAGACAGAGCGAGAGAAAGAAAGAACAGCAGCAGCAGAATTGCATCACCACACCCATTTTGCATGGGCACTGGTGGTCTTTGTGTTTATACAGCAAGCAGTTCACCAGCTGAACTATCTTCCCACATCCCTTTCTGGGTGGTTTTGAGTACAATGTATTATTTTCTTTTGGTTCCTGGTTTCCAGATGAGTATTAATCTAAAGAAAGAAAGAACAAAAGGTAATTTAATGTCCATGGTATTTTCATCATTGTTATTACTGTTATTCACGTTACAAAAAAGAACTACATTTAACAAACAGATGAATATCTGAGATAGAAATATCATGGCCAAGCCTTCCCTGTATTGGGCACTGGAATCCTTTGGAGGCCTATCTTAGTTAGGGTTTTATTACTGTAAAGAGACACTATGACCATGGTATCTTATATAAAGGAAAACATTTAATTGGTGATGGCTTACAGTTCAGAGGTTTAGGCTATTATCATCATGGTGGGAAGTATGGTGGCATACAGGCAGATATAGTGCTGGATAATTATCTAAGAGATCTGCATCTGGATCCACAGGTGGCAGGAAGAAAAAGTGAACCACTGACCCTGCTTGAGCATCTGAAATCTCAACCACCCATCCTCAGTGACATGCTTCCTCTAACAAGGTCACACCTTCTCATAGTGCCATGCTCTATGCGACTATGGGGGACCATTTTCATTCAAACCACCACAAGCCCTGATCAAATATTAGTATTTGAGCCCAGTGAAGTGGCACAGGCTTGTAGCTCCAGCTACTCCAGGGCTGAGGCAGAGATTGCTTGAGCCAGGCATTTGAGGTCCATCCGTGCAACACAGTGAAATCCCATCTAAAAAACCAAAACCTCAATGACTCGGTCAAGTGCTCATTACTCGAGCATGAAGGCTTGAGTTTGGATCTCAAAAAGCCAGGTATGGAGCCATGTGCTCTCCACATTGGGTTAGAGAGAGGGTAGAGACAGACAGATCTTACTAGCCAGCTAGTCTAGCCAAAAGGATGAGCTCCAGTGGAAATTCTACCTCAAAAAAATAAGAAAGACACTCGATAGCTACCTCTGGCCTCAACACGTCTTAGTCAGTGTTCTACTGCTGTGAAGAGACATCATGACCCCAGCAACTCTTATTTAAAAAAAAGCCTTTAATAGGTGCTTGCTTGCTTATAGTTTCAGAGGTTTAGTCCATTATCCTCATGGCAGGAAGCATGGCTGCACACAGGCAGATATATTACCTTAAGAGCTCTACATCTGAATCATCAGGCAGCAGGGAGAAAAAGCCATTGGGCCTGCCTGGGGCTTCTGAAACCTCAAAATCCATTCTCAGTGACTCACTTCCTCCATCAAGGCCACACGTCCTCCAACAAGGTCATAACTCTTAATCCCTCTCAAGTAGTGCCACTCCCTAATGACCAAGTATTCAAATATATGCACCTACGGTAGCCATTCTTAGCCAAACCACCACCACCACCACCACCACCCACCTCCCCACTCCACCCCCAGAGAGAGAGAGAGAGAGAGAGAGAGAGAGAGAGAGACTCAAAATAGAAATAAAAACTCAAAAGTCTCTATCAGTGATAAGTATTTTTGTATCTCCATATTAGGTTTCTCTGCAAATTCAATAAGCCAGAGACCAGGTTTAATCTGAGCAAAGCACTCCTGGGTGATTTGGGGGTAAGGAAGGAACTTAAACACCCTATATGCTTAGTCTTGAGCAGTTTCAGGGAGGAGCCACTGCTTGGTGGGCTTTCTGAGGGGGCAGAGTTTGGAAGGAGGGCCTGAAGTGGAGCTTCCAGTGGAACATTCCAACCTTCTTAGACATATGGATGCCTGTTTAAGTCTGGCTACTTACTGTTGGCATGGGAAGACGTGGCGGGGGGGAGGTCAGGAGTCAGTGGGCTCATGCTCTGGAGGAGGTGTGGGTGACAATTGGTTAACTACCTTCCTGGAGGCCTCAGGGATCTGTTTCTTGAGAAAGAAGAGAAGGCATGTTGCTAGGAGAAAAAAAAATAGGTTGTTAACACCGGCCTTATGAATGAGATTAGCCATGGGGAGAATGGAGATTGCCAGTAAGAATAGAATGGAGATGTGCCCTGGTTGTACTGACAAAGATGAATGAGCAAGGCAGAAGAGCAGACAGGCCCTTCATTGGGACAATTTGGAAAACAAGAGGGTGTTGAAGGCAAGCTTGGAATATATGAAATCCTGTCTCAAGAAAATAAAGGAGAGAATATATGGATAAGTAAATTTTAAAAGAAAATATGGAATTAAAGTTTGACTGAAATTGCTGATCATATACTATAAGTGAAAATTCTACTTTCTTTGTACAAGTTTATTGTATTTTCCTTTAAAAATAACTTCATTAGTTATCTCTTAACAATATGCCCTTTTCAGTGTATAATCCTTGAAACAAATTAATGGCAATATTCTAGGTTACTGGTAACTGAAGAGAAGAATCGTTGTATCTACTTAGACATTGGCATTGTTCAGATAAGTGCATGCAACATTTTTCAGAGTTGACTATTTCTTTTAGGTATATGTTATCAACATGGAACTGTCCTAATTGTTTAGAAGAAAAGCACATGACATAAAACATTTGCAGAAGAAAAAAAGGAGGATTAAATGCCTTAAAGAGTGTTTTGTGATTAGAAGAACATCATCATTTTTATTTTTTTTCTATCATAATAAGACAGGAAAACAGAAAATGAAGAGGCAATTACAGAGCAGGTGAAGGTTAGCAGGCTTTAGTCCCCTGAGCTTCATTCAGCTAAGGGAGCATGCTTAGAAAAGCCCATATTACACAAACTTGGAAGAGATGGGTACTTTGTTAATGATGAATTAGAGGTTACTGCAGACTCTTGTCTCCCTTTTTGCTTTCTTGGAAGCATGCTGCAGGGGAGGCATGGTTTACTTCCAGACTCCCTGTATCTCTTGGTTAATAAAAGATCTTGTAACTGTCCAGGTATCTCTGTGCAATTTGTTTTGAGCAGTTAGAAAGAACCTGGAAACTAAAGAAGCTACCTTCTAGACTCACAATAACAAGCCTGTTTAAAAAAATGCATGTGGTAGTTTTATAGAGGTTGTTTTACAGCTGAGAAGGCCAAGGAACAGGAGATCATGCAGCCACACCCAGGTACAGGAACCAGCTGTTGTTAAAAACTCACATTCATGCAGCATTACTTACAATAATGTGAAGTTAATTTCCCCTGGAAAACAAATTCTCTTGAGTGTTAGTTAGGACTGTGATTGTGAGCAACAGGAACCCACCTGCTATAATAGGTGAATGGTAAATAACTCCAAGAACCTCAAGTGTTCTTTGAAATGAAGAAACTGCAGTGTAGATGTCCTCGTGCTCACAGATGAACACTTGGTAAAACAGGGATGTTAAGGATGCAGACATTGCTTCAATGGAAGGGATATGGATACCTATTTTTCACCTGGAAGTCTAGGAGCGGATGTTGTTAACAATCTGGTGACCTTTGCTCTCTGTAAGGCCATGCCTCACCCAAGTCCCCCAAACTGTTTATCCCAGATTTTCCCTCCCTATATCTTTATCTCTATCTTTGTTTCTCAATAGAACCCATCCTTAGAGTTGTCATGTACTTTATAGTCTGGTGACCTCTACATTCTGAGTCAGAGACCACACCAGATCCTAGGCCCTTAAACTATAGGTCCCATCTTTATGATAGAGGTCACAATATAGCCACACCTTAAGCTTTATTATGCAAACAGAATTGGGATAATTGTTACCAGGAAACTTTTTTTTTCCAAAATTGTACTGTACTTTAATATGTATAAAATAACTGTCTGGTGTCAGACTCCAGAAGTTTGAATCCTTCTTACCTCTTGTTTCTCCATCTGCAGTAGAGCTTGCAGGGACCCGCATACAGCAGAATTAGGCTGTGGCACACTTCACCCAACAGTAGCGCTGAGGACAGGATAGCAGATGTGAGTTTATGCCTAGAGAACATCCACTTGGCTGAGGTAGGTTGCCATGGATCTACTGGAAAGGGAATAATACCTTGGTGTGCAATCTAGCAAGGCTGAGGAAACATGAGGTGTTATATCCTCGTGTAAAATGAGGGTGCTCTGACCAGAAGGAGGAACAGACCCTGCAGGCAAAATGCCACCCTTCCTGGTCTATAGCCCTGGCTTATTCTTGGTGTTGCTATGTGCAAAAAAGCCAAAGCCATTCTGTGCAATTTCCCAATGCACCTTACTCTTCACAAGAGGGAAAATGTGGCTTAATCACTGTAGAGCTGGGTGAAATCCCAAAGAAGTTGAAATCTCCAAGCCAGTGGGAAATCACTGTTTCATAATTGTTGTGGTTTTCTTCCAGAGAATGCAGCTATCAGAGCTGAATGGGACATTAGGAGCTCTGTAATTAATGGTCTGAATTAGGTTTGATTTTGTATGTAACCAAATTTCAAATGGTGAAGGACTTCTGAGTTATAAATTCTGAGTTTGAAGGCTAGACGCCAGTTGTTTCAGCCTGAAATGGTTTTGTACAAGCAAATCAAGCTCTTGGATTTGGGTTTCTGGTTTATTTCCCTAATCAGAAGTCAAATGTAAAATATACTTTTATAATATGACAAAATATGGCTAATGTTCAGGTACAGTTTATATACTGAGCTAAATCTTAAGTCCAACTAGAGTTTGTATAAGTACAGTAGTCTTATTAATAAGTATATTCATATTATAATATATTATGAATATAAGTATATTCATAATATAATATATAATGTTTATCTTATATATGACATTTATGCTATTATATAATCATTTCATTGCTTTCTCTTCAATACATATATTTAATCTCTGTTGGCCTATTTATTATTAATTCAATTTATTTGAGATATTACTAAATCCTGGACTCTGTCAAAACTCTGGAATACAAAGAAACAATGATGAATAGAATCTTAAAGAGAGCACAATCAAGACAGAATGAATAGAGAACAGTGTGTCTATTCATTGCCTCTTATATAACAGCTCCCTAAGGTAAGCATGTGTACCTCAATTACATTGAAGAGATGGTCTGAAAGTCTACAGAGCTGAAGTTTGCAAGGCTTAAACTGACCCTTGCTCTAAAGCTTGTGCTATTTTCTCTAGGAATTCTTGGAGGAGTTAGATATGTACCTAAGTGCAGAAACCTTGACAAAGGCTGTAAAAGTTGAACATATCCAATGAAGCCTTGGAAAAATTAATGGTACATTCTTTCTGAATGAATAATCTGTACAGTGTGCCAAGTAATAAAGAAGAGATAGGGCTGGTAAGATGATTCACTGAGTAAAGGCACATGCTGTCAAGCCTGACACCTGAGTTGGGACCTTTCATATATCTGTTGAATGAAGTTTTAGAGGAGAAACATTATATCCCTAAAGGAGCTGGGTGATATATTCAAATACTGAAAGGATAAAGCTGCCAACCAGGAAACAGATGAAGAATTACACACACACACACACACACACACACACACACACACACACACACACACACACGTGAAGTTAAGAAACATTAAAGTAATTCTTTAAGATAAGACAAAAGAACTCTGAAAAGTAACAAGGTAGCAAAAGAAAATATAAAGCTCACTGGAAAATACTTACATAAACAAACAATGTGTGTCAATAAAATGGTGCAGATAAATCACTTTTACCTCAAATACAGTTAAAGGGCAATGGTATCAACTTAACCACAACTGGAGATATTCTTTTAAATAGACACTGCATTTTTGTTTGTGTATGAATGTATATGCCACAACCCATGTGTAGGCGCCAGAGAACAACTTTGTCTGGAGTCAGTTTCCTCTTTACAACATATGGGATGTGGGGATGGGAAACAGGTCTGAAGGGACTTAGCAGCAGGTGTCTTTCCCCACTAGAAGGACTCTTAATCATCCAAAAGATACAGTAACATCAGTAACATAAAGAAGGAAATAAATTATAGAGATCTTAAATGTTATTGACTTAAATTTGTTATCAAATTCAATTAGACTGATATGTTAGTATCAAGGTAAAAAATGATCAATAAATGGAAAAAGAAAGTAATTAAAGGATATAAATATTAAAAGTTTAGCAAAGCACAAAACTAAATAGCAAAAGGAACCAAAAAAAAAAGGCAGAGAGTTTCAGGCCTGAAAGAAAATCAGCAATAAAATGACAATTCACAATAAATAATTATCTTAATCATAAATGCATTAAATTCCCCAAGTAGAAAGACATCAAGAGCTAAATAGGGTGAGGATGTGTGTTAGGTTGCTTTCTGTTGCTGGGATAAAAATAACTTAAGGAGCAAAGGGTTTATTTTTGGCATGGTCCTGGAAACAAAGAGTCCATCATGGGCGGGAATGGCACAGTAGCAGTCAGGGAAAAAACATGGCAGTGGAGTAGGAAGCTGGCTAATCACATTTCCAGAGACAGAGAATAGGAAATAAGGCCAGGCTATGCTCTAAACTCTCAAAACCCAAGCTCTAGTAAGCACTTCCTCCAGCCAAGCTCCACCTCCTAAGGTTCTAGAACTCACAAATAGCACTACCAACTGGAGACTAAGTGTTTGAATGCCTTCAAACCACCACAGGGTCAGTGAAAATTACCTAACTCTATACTGTATACAAAAATCACATTTTGGACTGGGGACATGGACTGGTGAGTGGATCACTTGCTGTGCAAGCATAAGGACCTGAGTTTGAATCCCCAGCATTTACATAAAGCACAGTAGTGCACATCTCTAATCTCACTTCTACAAGAGGGAAAGCAAAGACAAGGAGAATACCCAGAAGTTTGCAGACCAGCTAGCCTGATGTGAATGAAGGACCTTGTCTCAAAAAAAGTGAAAGTTAAGGACCATTATCTGAGGCTGTCCTCTGATCTCCACACATGTGCACACACAAGCATAATACACACACCAAGAGAGATTTGAAAAAAGAAAACACAGACACACACAAACACACACACACTTTAAGAATATGTAGGTTTAAAAGTAAAGAAATGCAAAACTTGGTCAATGTAAAATATCACTGAATGGCAGCAGGCCTAGTTCCCCTGCATCTGAAGCACCAGGCCTTAAGCCAAAAATGGTCACATATTGTTTCTCTAAAGTCTCATTTTCAATACAAGATAGAGTATTCAGACGGTCAATAAGGAAACAAGACCCAACATGACATTCATCTAGACAGCAGAAAGCACTTTTGCTGTTTGTCTTTCAGTCCCTGGACTGAGCACAGGGATTTGTAATACCTAGGTAAGTACTCGTACTCAACCACTGAGCTACAGCCCAGCCTAGAAAACACATTCTTTTTTTAAATTGCTACACATCTTTCTCTAAGGATAGTTTACACATGGGTCATAAAACAAGGGTCAATGATTTTTTTTAAGAATAAGATTATATCAAGCAACTCTCCTGACATCAGTGAAACAAACCCATAAGTTAAGAGCAAAAAGAAGACAGGAGATAAAATGTGAAATTTAATGTATACTTGAACAACAGGAAGGTCGGTGGAGAAATAAGAAAAAAAAAAGTTTCTCCAGCTGAATGAGAAAAAAAAGATTATATCACCAAAACCTGTGGTGGTATTTTAATTGTGTAACCCAATAAAGCTTATCTGGAGATCAGAGGAAAAAGCAGCCACTATATTAAACATAGAAGACAGGCAATGGTAGCACATGCTCTTAATCATAGCATTTGGGAGGCACAGATCCATCAGGATCTCTGTGAGTTCAAGGCCACACTGGGAATAGAGCCAGGTGTGGTGACACATGCCTTTAATCCCAGCACTAACCATGGAGGTCTGGAAGTCTGTACAGACAGACAGGAAGTGATGTAGCTGGGCAAGAGAGAGGAAGTAAGAGGGCAGGGACAGAAAGGCACATAGGCATGGGTATACAGGAAGTAGGTCTCTCTTTGGGCTGAGGATTTCCTAGGGTAAGAACTTGTGTCTGTAGCTTGTTCTCTTCCTCTGATCTCTCAGCTTTCACCTCACTATCTGGCTACAGGATTTTTATTAATACGACCATTGAGCAATTTGCCCCCAACTCTTAAAAAAAAAAAACCTGTAGAGAGGCTTAGCATGATAAGTATGCATACAGAAGAGGAGGAGGGAGAGGAGGAAGAGGGCGAAAAGGGGAAGATAATCCATGTAAGCAATCTGAATTTATACACAAGAATCAATAAAAGAAGGAAGCTCAATGTTGACAGAAGGAAGAAAACAAAAACAAAGTAGCAAATAGAGAAACAATATTTTTTTAAGAATGGAATTAGGTTGTTGAAAGAATAAAATTGACAGACCCTTAATTAGACCATGAAAAAAAAAAAAAGAGAATACTCAAATAAAATTACTATAAGGAATTATGTAACAGTGAATGACACAGAAATCAGACAGCTCACAAGAAACTACTGTGAGCAGCCATAGACCATCAAATTGTATAATCTAGAAGAAATGGAAATTTCTAGAAATACATAAACTACTAAAACTATATTATGAAAAACAAAAATCCTAAACAAACCTGTAGCAGGTACAGGGCATCAAAACCTTCCCACCAAGCAAAGGCAGCACCCAGAAGCTTCACTGCTGATTTCTACCAACTGTTTAGTAAATAACTAACAGGATTCATCATCAGAATCTCCCAAACACCGAAGACTCAAGAACACTTTCCATTTGTTCAAATGGCTGATGTCACACACACTCCTCCCATGTCAAAGCCAGACAGTACAAATTGTAAAACAAAAGGCCACTGTTCCTAAGACCCCCACCAGCATCCCCAAAAAGGAGCAGTGAACTAATCCAGCAACAAAATGAAAGTAATCAAGTAAAATCATCCAATGGGTTTTATTTCCAAGATGCCAGAGTAGTTCAATATATGAAAATCAATTGTTTTGTTAGACCAGAATAAATAATAAAACCATCTGATTGTCTTGGTAAATGTAAAGTAAGTTTTTGACAAAATGCAGTGTATTTTATGAAAAAATCTCAGCAAACTAGGGACTGGAGAAAATGCTTCAACATAAAAGAAGCACTAGTAAAAACCTGTAATCTTTTCATTTAATATCAAAAGTAAGGCAAGGATGTCATCTCTCAGCACTTCTGTTTAATGTAGTGCTGGAAGGGAAGAAATCGATTATCCCTGCTGGCAGAACACACAGTTTTATACATATGAGACAGACTCTATATTTTAAAATAGAACTAATAAATCAATTCAGTAAAGTTGTAGCATAAAACATATCAAAATAACAGAAATCAGTTATGTTTCTAAGCGCTAAAAACAAATTATCCCAAAAGGAAAGTAAGAAAACAAATTTTCACAATAACAAAAGAGTGTGATGCTTTGCTAAGAAAAGATCTATCTGAGAAGCCCAAAGCCCTGATGCTGAGATTAAACAGGGCAAAGCTGAGGGGCACCAAGCACCTGTTGGGCAGGAAAGCTGAATCTTGTTAGAATGTCCATTCAACCCACTAACTTTATAAAAAATCCTCCAAGCCTTTGCGGGGGGGGGGGGGGGGGGGGGGGGGGGGGGGTGAGGGAGGAGGCGGCGCACTAGAGACAGTGTTTCTCTGTGTGGTCCTGCTTATCCTGGGACTTGCTTTCTAGACCAGGCTCAAACTCATGAGATCTGCCTCTCTCTGCTTCCCAAGTGCTGGGATTAAGGTGTCTACCATGACTGCCCAGCAAGACTTTTTAAAATAGAAATAAGCCTTAAAATTCAAGTAGAAATACCAAAAACCTGGGACAGCCAAACCAATCCTGAGGAAGAAGAGCAAGGGAAGGACACAGCGTGGATGCTGTGTCATGTGATGACGCCAGGATGTTTCTGGCGGACGTGTAGACCAGTGGAGCAAAATACCCCCCTAAAAACATTTGCACCTATAGCAAGCTGACGTTTCACAGGGTGACAAGACTGTAACTGGGAGGAAGAGTTTTCACGATAAATACTGCTGGGAAACTGGATATATCAGTGTCAAAGAATGAAATTGAATCCTCACACTCTATACAAGAATCAACACCAAATGGATAAAAGTCTCACATGTAACTGAAACCTTCAAGTGCTGGGAGAAAAGCTTCAGCATTGGTCTTAGCATTAATTTTCATGAATATGACCCCAAAAAGTACAGGCAAAAAAGTAAGTACAGAAAAACAAAAATTAACAAGCTTTTGCATAGCAATATATTTGCATAGAAATAAATATATGGAACAGACAACCTCAGGAATAATGGGGTGCATTTATGTAAGAAATACCTGTTAATTGCCTGGTTTGAAAATGGGCTAATGACTGAAACAGACATTTCTCCAAAGAGATGTTCAAATATCCAGTAGATAGATCAAAACAGACCCACTGCTCCTGACATTGGAGAAAGTGGAATGAAAACTGCTAGGACAGGCTACATCTGCCAGGATACCTATTCATTTTAAAAAGAGAATAGCTATTAGAAAGAATGAGGAAAATTAGAATCTTTTACAAGTGGATACAAAATAGTATGGCTGCTAAGGAAACTGGTATAGAAGTGATTTAAAAATTAGAGTGGGTTCGAGGCATGGCTCATTGGTGAGAGAACTGGCCTAGCACAAGTGAAACCCTCAGTCCCGAACACTAAACAAAAGCTTCTGTTTTCTGGCATGGTGGTATTCTTCTGCAATCCCAGCACTGGGGAGGCTGAGGCAGGAGGATCCTAAGTTCCAGCCTGGCCCAGTCTATATAGCAAGATTTAGGGAAGTTCCAGGCCAACCTGGGCTACATAGTGAAACCTTGTCTCAAACAAGGAAATTAAAGAGTCACCATACTAACAGTTCCACTTCTGCGTACACAGTATACCCACACCCAAAGGAATTGAAATCAGAGTTTTGAAAATGTATCTGCCCTTCCAAGTTCATTATAGAATTATTCACAAAAGCCAAGATCTGGGAACAACCAAAACAGTCAGATATAGAAAGACCATTGCTACATCACTCCAGTTACACAGAGTCTTGGACCTTGTCAAATTCATGAAAATCAGAGACAGGAAGTTCAGTTAAGTGAGCAGAGTAAGTCCTAGGGATCTGCTGTATAGAATTGTCATGTTGTCAACAATGTACTTGACACATGAAATTTGTTGAAATGATGTTTTATACTGAGTTCTTGTACCACAGCAAACTTACTTCCTCTCAAAAATAAACATTTTTTTCCAAATTGCAAAATGACTGAAGATCCCCCTCTCCTGGCTAGTACAAGTAACTGCTACTTCTTCATAAATACACAGTTCAAGCTGTTACTTCTTATTTTATAAGAAAAAAGTTCAAGCTATTCAATTACAAAATTGCACCTGGTTCCAGATTGTGTCAGTCTTAGCAAAAGCCCTTTTCCTTGAGGCCCAGCTCACCTCCTGAAAACCAAAACACTTAACCATTTCTTTCCAAGTCCTCATCTGGGTGCAACAAGCAATAAATTGTCTTTATTCCAGGCTGCATTCCTGGAATGAAATGCCAATTTCCCTAATAGACAGTGGCTGTTTGTCTTTTATCTTTAATTGTGAAGCTGGAAAAATGATCTGTCATCACTTATCATATAAGTCAATGAAATATTCCAGTTTCATCTATGTAAGCTTTGTGTGGTATAAATATTATTGAAAATCAGACCCAACACCATGTTTTAAGTCACAATAACTGAGAACTGCATAGTGGGTGTAAGTGGACTCTTCCTCAACAGGAACATGTTGAAATGACACTAACTTTTCAAATGTCCATGCTCAAACTTGCCCTGGTTCTCAGGAGAATAGGCACTTTCCTTGTTCAGACTGGCAGACTGCAAAGACATGATTTGTAAAAATTCACACACATATTTGTATAGAAAAACCTTACCCTAGAGCTGACGGCTGACAGATGGTAAATGTGTTTGCCACAGAAGCCTGGAGACCTGAGTTTAATCCCTGAAACCAACTTCAGGTGGGAGGGAAGAACTGATCTCACAAACGTTGTCTTCCTAACCTCCGCACACGCCCAGGCTCAAGTCCCCAACATGCACACATATTAAACCTTAAAAAAATTAAATAATGCTTTTTTTTTCTAAAAAGCAACATTAGCCCTGGGAAATTCTGAGAGTCTAGCTTATGCAGATATTCACCTCTGTCTCTGGGTATCCACTTTGTAGACATATGGCTGGCTATCGTGTCTTTAAGCTACTAGAGTCTCTCTCTCAGGACTCATTATTACTGGCTATAAATATATTTCTCAAGATCTCCTTTGTTGATAATCTAAAGCTTTCATGATTTGCTGTCAGATCTAATTGGATTTTTTAAGTCTAGGTTATGGTAGGACTGATAATGAACTTCTTTTAAGAGTAAGTTGACAGCTCTGCCATTTTCTTATTTAACCTGTGTTATATATTGTTGCCATTACCAAGTCATGATTTTTGGTAGAAATCTTCTAAATTCTCTAATTCATTTTTTAACATTGGTGTAGTTAATACCAGTGTAATCCTCATGCATGTTTGACTCAGCTCAAATAGATGCAAAGGCACTGACCTAGGGGAGTGTGGGTCATCCCACATTGGAGGCCCAAGCTGTGCTTGAAACATAACTAGATACACAGAAGCTGGGAACACAAATTTGTCAAATGGACTAGGGCATCTCAGTTGCCTTAGGTACACCATACAGGTACAGGTCACAGGTGATGATATTTTCTGCTTGTTCCCAAACAGGCTGAATTCTACCTCTCATGCCATACTGGCTGAAGTGTTGGCATTGGTGTTATTGTTTCATTTTATTTCTTTTCTTGAACATACACTATAGTAAAATTCAATGAAAAGCTATCCCTAGGAAAACATGGGATTTATTTTTAAGATTCCTCACCCCATGAGTATTATGGATGCCCATAAAGGCCAAAAGAGGGCATCACATTCCCCTGAAGCTGGAATTACAGATGACTATGAGCAACCCAGTGTGGATACTAGAAACCAAACTTAGGTTCTCTTCAAAAGCAGCTCTTAACTTTCAAGCCAGTGGTTCCCAACTTTCCTAATGCTGCCACCCATACATTTTGTCATGTTGTGATGATCCCCAATCATAAATTATTTCATTGCTAATTCATAACTGTAATGTTGCTACTGTTATGAATCGTAATGTAAATATCTGTGTTTTCCAACAGTCTTAGGTAACTCAAAGGGTTTGCGACCCACTGTCTGAGTTGCCCCACTGAAACTAAATATATAATATATAGCTTTATATATTATATATTGACATTAAGTTATATATATATATATATATATATATATATATATATATATATATACACACACACACACACACACACAGAGAGAGACAGAGAGACAGAGACAGAGAGGGTGGGGGAATATAGCTCCCATGTGTGAGGTATTGGGTTCAGTCCCCACCACTGAAAAAAGTTATTTAATAAACAAATGTATTAGTCTCATTTCCATTACCAATAACATCACCCCATAATCTGAGTGAGACATAAGAGTTTGATTTTGCTCATGGTTCCACAAGCATTTCAGTGATGCATATGCTGTAGAAAGCAGTAGCCTGGCTCAGTATTGCTAGTGCTCAGTACCCTTCAATCTCTGCTAAGATCTAATTCCTGTGACTGCAAAGCTGATGATGAGGCCCTGAATCCCACAGTCATGCAGGTATGGCCTGTGCCTGG